AGGGAGCCCGATGCGGGACTCGATCCAGGGACTCCAGGATCATGACCTGAGCTGAAGGCAGTCGCTTAACCAACTGAGCCACCCAGGCGCCCCCATCTGGAATTTTCTTCTTAAACAAAATGTGGTATACGCAGTGGATAATTATATAGACAAAAAAGGAATGAAATATTGTCACATGGACACATGCTACAACATGTAGGTGGATGAACCTCAAAAAATAATACGCTAAGTAAAAGAAATCAGGCACCAAAGCTCACATACTATATGGTTCCATTTATATGAAATATTCAGTATAGGTAAATCCATAGAGACAGAAAATAGATTAGCGGTTGCCAGAGGCTGGGGAGGATGGGAGTCTCCTTTGGGGTAATGAGAATGTTTTCAAAGTAGGTATGATGGATGCACAACATGGTGAAGGTACTAAATGCCACTTTAATTGTACACTTTTTTTGAGGTCCATCCGCATTGGAGGTCCATGTATCAGTTCCTCATTCCTTTTTATGGCTGAATTATATTCCACTGAATAGATATACCATATTTTGTTTATTCATTCTTCCACTGAAGGACGTTTGGCTTATTTTCATCATTTGACTTTGTGAATAGCGCTGCATGAAAATTCATGTGCAAGTATTTGTTTGGATACCTGTTTTCAAAATAATTGAAATAGTTTTCAAAATAATTGAAAATCCAATTCTTTCAGTATACCTAGGAGTAGAATTCCTGGGTCAGTTGGTAATTGTATGTTTACCTTTTTGAGGAACCTCCACGTGGTTTTCCACAGCAGCCGTACCATTTTACATTCCCACCAGAAAGTACAAGGATTCCAGTTTCTCTACATCTTTGCCAAGACTTGTTAATTTCCATTCGTTTTTAATTATAGCCATACTAGTGGGTGTGAGGTTTTGTGGTTTTTACTTGCATTTCCCCAGTGACTAATAATGTTGAGTATCTTTTCATGTGCTTATTGGCCGTATGTATATATTCTTTGAACAAATGTCTATTTGAGCCCTTTGCCCATTTTTTAATTGGGTGGTTTGTCTTTTTGTAGTTGAAAAGTAATAGTTCTTCATATATTCTGAATAATGGGCTCTTATTACATATATGATATGCAAATATTTTCTCCCATTCTGGAGAAATGCATCTCTTGATGCACGAAAGTTTTTACTTTTACTGAAGTCCAAGTTATTTATTTTTCCTTTAGTTGATTGTACTTTTGGTGTCATATCTAAAAAAATCACTGCCAAATCCAAAGTCATGAAGATTTGACCTTTGTTTTCCTCAGAATTTTAAAGTTTTAGCTCTTTGAACATTTAAGTCTTTGGTCCATTTTGAATTAATTTTTGTATATATTGTAAGATAGGGGGTTCAGCTTCATACTTCCGCATGTGACTAGCCACTTGTCTCAGCATCTTTTTTTTTTTTTAAAGATTTTATTTATTTATCTGAGAGAGAGAATGGGAGACAGAGAGCATGAGAGGGGAAGGGTCAGAGGGAGAAGCAGACTCCCTGCCGAGCAGGGAGCCCGATGCGGGACTCGATCCCGGGACTCCAGGATCATGACCTGAGCCGAAGGCAGTCGCTCAACCAACTGAGCCACCCAGGCGCCCTCTCAGCATCATTTTGTAAAGAGCCTGTTTTTCTTCGCTGAATCATCTTGCACTTTTGTCAAAAATGAGCTGACTAGATGTATAGGCTTATTTCTGGACTCACAATTCTATTCAATTTCTCTGTATAGATCCTTATGCCAGTACCACACTGTTTTGATTATAATAAATTTTGAAATCAGAAAGTAGGAGGCCTCCAACATTGTTCCTCTTTTTCAAGGTTTTGGCTATTCGACTTGTCTTGCAATTTCATCTCAATTTTGGGGTTGGCTTTTCTGTTTCTGCATAAAAGGCTATTGGAAGGGGCGCCTGGGTGGCTCAGTCGTTAAGCTTCTGTCTTCGGCTCAGGTCATGGTCCCAGGGTCCTGGGATCGAGCCCCACATCAGGCTCCCTGCTCCGCGGGAAGCCCGCTTCTCCCTCTCCCACTCCCCCTGCTTGTGTTCCCTCTCTCGCTGTGTCTCTCTCTGTCAAATAAATTAAATCTTTAAAAAAAAAAAAGGCTATTGGAAGTTTGATAGGGATTGTATTGAATTTTGTAGATTGTTTTGTGTAGTATTGCCATTTTATTTATTTATTTTTAAAGGTTTACTTATTTTAGAGAGAGAGTATGAGTGGGGGTAGGCACAGAGGGAGAGGGAGAGAGAGAGAATCCCCAAGCAGACTTCTCCCTAATCTCAGAGCCTGATGCAGGGCCCAGTCCCAGGACCCCAAGATCATGGCCCCGGGCTGAAACCAAGAGTCAGCTGCTTAACCGACTGAGCCACCCAGGCACCCCTAGAATAAATAAATCTTAAAAAAATACAACTGATTTTTGCGTGTTGCTCTTTTATCCTGCAACTTTGATGAATCTGTTTATTAGCTTTAGTAGTTTGTGTGTGAGTTCTTTAGGATTTTCTATCTGTAAGATCATGAAATCTGTGAATATAGTTACAGTTTTCCATTCCGATTTGAGGATTTTTTTGGTTTCTTCATTTATCTGATTGCTCTGGCTAGAACTTCCAGTACAGTGTTGTCCATTTTACCTGGGTTACCTAATTTGTTGGTGTTCAGTTATTCTTAGTATTTGCTTATAATCCTTTATATTTATGTAAGGTCGCCACTTTCATTTCTGATTTTAGTGATTTGAGTCTTTCCCCTTTTTTTCTTACTTTGGCTAAATGTCAACTTTGTTGGTCTTTTCAAAGAGCTACCTTTTTGTTTTGTTGATTCACTGTAGTATTTTTCTGTTCTCTCTTTTCTTTATCTCCACTCTAATCTTTATTATTTCTTTCATTCTACTAGCTTTGTATTTAGTTAGATCTTTTTTTTTTTTTTTTTGGTTTCTTAAAGTGTAATGTCAGGTTACTGATTTGAGATATTTCTCCTTTTTTTTTTTTTTTTAAAGATTTTATTTATTTGACAGAGAGAGACACAG